TTAGCGTTGGCTGCGCCTGCTTCTCGCTTGCCATCACTGCTCTTCAGTCTTCATGCCACCACCAGCGGCCAGCCTCTATCACGTACAGTGTGGAATGAGAGCTCGTGCCTAATGCGTAAGCACACAGCTGAGTAGGCAGAGTCACTGTCACTCGTCCCTGGGAAAAGTAACGTTTCGGCGAATTGAAGAAGAAACTACGTTACGTTACCAAATTTTCCGTAGTAGCGCGTTACACTACTTTTTACCCGGCAAAAGTAGTTACCCAACACTGCTCGCGACCAACAACCAATCACATTAATCTTCCGCCCCGGAGACACAAGCACGCGGTTTGATTGGCTAGTTGTTGTACTGGCATATGATTTGATTGGCTGGCGCTTCCGTCGAAGCTTCAGAAGTTGAACTTTTCTCAACTTTCGAAGCGAGCAACGGAGGCAAAGCGACGCGACGGACCCACAATGCAGTTCGGCAAAGCGGGACGTCACCCCGTTCAAAGTGAAGGGGGAGCGTCTCCGTTCAAGCAACGCACGCCGCCGTGTGGACGGGCCGTATGAGACTTGTGTTATACTCCCAATCCTAAGAATGGCAACCATCAGAAGTCACATCCACCTGACAACTGGAAGCCAGTGCTTCCTGTCAGCGATGTTACCACACACACATCATGCTCCCAGACACACAGAAAACACGTAAGCATCATATAAACACTGTTGATACATCGAAATAACTTGATCTTCTTTTGATGAGTTTGTTTCCATCATTTCACGGTTAAATAAAATCGAAAAAGACAATTCTTCTGTGCCCGCAGAATACTTATGTGTTATACAAAAGGCATTGCTTTCATACATTCTGCAAGATGTTTCTTTTTGCCATCCCATGTTTCCTGTGAGGTTTAGTCCACTTTGTGCCCGTTTCCATTGCCTCAAAAAGTAGAAAATATACATGTCGTAATACAAATGTACAGTAAACAAAATATAAAGCAGGATATTATACATTAAGAGTGTAAGGAATGGAATATTACATTCTACAGTGTGAGTTTAAGTCCAGTTTCCATCCTTTCACAGCTAAATAAAATCGAAAAAGACAATTCTTCTGTGCCCGCAGAATACTTATATCTTATACAAAAGTAACAGAGATGTAAGAGCAGCAGAGGCATTGCTTTCATACATGAACATACATTTCTTGTTGCCATGTAGTCCACTTTGTGCCCGTTTCCATTGCCTCAGAGCGTCTTTACACTCTGACCCTAATGCCGCGGCGCCACTTCTTTTTTCTCGTGTTGACGTGACTTGGCGAACAAAACGCTGCCATGCCATCATTGGAACAATCCTGAGAGGCGGCTAATTTGTGAGCGGCGTCTACAAAGAGTCACTGCAGGGCTTTACAAAGGTCAAAGGTCATTACAGGAGTTCTGAGTTAATGATGTAGGGTCCATTTTCTTATATTGGTGATGCAAAAATAGTAGATTTGACTTTTTATGGGAATAATCTCAATCTCAATCTTTATTTATTTATAAAGCACATTTAAAACCACCTCAGTTGACCAGGGAACAAATATATAATAACACAATAGGAGTACAATTATAAAACAATAATTAATAACATGATAAAAACACATTCAAATGTCAAAATGTTACTAGTATTAAAAGCCAGTGCAAAGAGGTGAGTTTTTTGCTGAGATTTAAAAACGACTGGTTTATTTTTGTGCGTATTTAATTACTGAATAAAGAAGATGTAGAGTTGAATCCCTTATTACATTAACATGTATTTTTATTATATACAGGGTTCTTACAGTCATTACAAACCTGGAAAAGTCATGGAAATTCAAAATGCTAATTCCAGGCCCTGGAAAAGTTATGGAAAACAATATCTTTCCCAACGTTTTGGAAAAGTCATGAAAATGTAACTAAAGTTCCATCAAATATAATTTATATTTTATCCATCTCACAGTGCTTCTCAAAGTGTGGTCCGCGGACCACTGGTGGTCGGTGAGCGCCCCCTAGTGGTCCGTGAGTATATTGGTAACATTTCACATTTGAAATAAATAAATACATTTAAGTTTTCCGCACTCTCGCGGGAATATCTCCGCAATGGAACGAGCTTAAGTTTCACTTTCGATTGCATGATATAGCCCAGTGCAACACCTTCGTCAAACATGTTGTCGCCTGTTTGTACCATTTTCAGGCGATTTGTAATCTGTTCTAGAAAAACGATGTGTTTTGGGATATTTGTGGAGTTAGGTGGTCCTCCAGTGTTTTTTTTTATTGGTTAAGTCCTTGGTATGAAAAGGTTTGAGAAACATTGATCTAATAAATACTGTATCGTATAGTAATGAAACGTAAAATGGCATTTAACTGACGAGGTATTTTGCTGGTGAGAGATTTTAGTTGCCTAAGCTGTATTTAGTATTTATTAATACTGCTGCTGGTTTATAAAGCACTGAATGGTTTAGGCCCAAGATACATTTCTGACCTCCTGCTAAATGATGAACCATCCAGATCTCTCAGGTCTTCAGGGACTGGTCAGCTTTCTGTCCCCAGAGTCAGAACTAAACATGGAGAAGCAGCGTTCAGTTATTATGCTCCAAATATCTGGAACAAACTCCCAGAAACCTGCAGGTCCGCTGCAACTCTTACTACTTTTAAATCCAGGCTGAAGACTTTTCTTTTTGTCGCTGCTTTTAATTGAACTATTCATATCTTAGACTGCACTGTAACTTTTATCCATGTACTTTTTCTTTTAATGTTTAATTTATTATCTTTTGCTGTTTTTAAATGCCTTTTTCTTAATGTCTTTCATTTTTGTAAAGCACCTTGAATTGCCTTGTGTTGAAAGGTGCTATATAAATAAACTTGCCTTGCCTTAGCGTGTAGAAGCTAGTAAGCCTACTATTTGATTTGTTTTAGATAGGCACAACATGTTTCAGATGCAGACCGTATTTTCCTGTTCCATGTTCAAATAAACCATTTTCAGTGATACGCTGAGAAAGAGTAATTTCTTTGGTCATGGAAAATTAGGTAAAGGTCCTGGAAAATCATTGGTGAAAAAGTGTATGAACCCTGTATATGGATATATGATAATGGTAATAATAATAACAATATCAACGATCATCATAATTATCATAGTTTGAATAAAAATACAACGATAATTAAAACGGTCTTGTTATCTGAACATGGACATGTAGGAAGTTTCTAGAAATGGGTGCAAGTGTATATATTAGGGCCGGGACTTTAACGCGTTAATTAAGATTAATTAATTACACAAAAATTAACGCGTTAAAAAAATTAACGCATTTTAATCGCACTTATTTTTGCACCACGGAACGTTTCTCACTGGATGAGTTTCAGGCGTACCGATTATACTGGAGCACCAACTAACGTTCATGACTTCAGACAACAACAAACCACAGTGAACAACAGTGGGAAATGTTGTTTTAAAAAACGGACGGATGGAAGCGTCGATAAGAGCACGGTTGTGTGCAAATTATGCAAAAAGGAATTTGCATATCACCGCAGCACATCAAGCCTCAAGTATCACCTCAATGCAAAACATATAGCAGCTAGCGTGGAAGCTAGCGTGGACGTTAGCCTCTTTTATCGCGTTCACACCAAAAAGAGCTGGTACTAAAATTAGTTCATGAGAACCTTTTTACCCCCCACGAAAGTCCCTGCTAGAGAGCAGAGAGCTGCTAGAGAGCAGGGACTTTCGTGCGGCTCTCTTGTGAGAAAAGAGCTATATTTCTGATTGGCTGGGCGGATTGCAAACCACGCCCCGTAAAACTCCCAAAAAGTGTTGTGAAGCCGCCATTTTATTATCCTCGCATTAGCATTATTAGCATTAGCCCAGCGCAGAAACGCAGAGAGACTAACTTATGGCAACACAAAATAAAACATGGGAGCGGTGGAGATGAGGAGGTGTCGGCGTTCTGGCGATTTACTCGGAAGGCTGCAGTAGAAGCTGCTGGGACTCCCAGCAGCTTCTACTGAAGCCAGTCCCCAACTCCGGGGACTTCCGGCCGGGGACTTTGGGCGGCAGTATACGCCGTGAAGTGGTTTGCGGCCTGCCTGTAAACCCACAGCAGCAGAAGAAGAAGAAGTGACGTCAGCGGCTTCATTTGCCTAATCCTCCCCCAGGTTCAAAGAGTTCTCATGAAGTAAATTCTCATGAACCTTTGTGGGAAAAGTACTGCGGTGTGAATGCGCCTAATGGTATACTAAAATCCATGTGAAAAAAAATTGCTTCTCACTGTTCTTAGGTCAAATATGTATATGCGATTAAAAATGCGATTAATTAATTACAAAGCCTCTAATTAATTAGATTAATTTTTTTAATCGAGTCCCGGCCCTAGTATATATACTTTTGTTTATTTGTGTGCGTATTTAATTACTGAATTATCTTTTTGTCCTTTAACTAACGGGAGGGCTACCTCTGTATAAGATGTGCTTTCTTCCCTCCTTCTACTAATTTTGTTTACTTTCATCGGATGTATAAATTGTCTAATATTGAAATAGTAGGATAAATACTACAAAAGAAAGTACTTCTCACTTAAGTACATTTCGAAGACTTTACTTTTACCAGAGTATTTTTAAACACGAGTATCTGTACTTCTACTTGAGTAAAGGAAGTGTGTACTTTGCCCTCTCTTCTACTAATTTTGTTTATTTGTCGGATGTATAAATGGTCTAATATTGAAATAGTAGAATAAAGAATTAAATAAAAAAGAATCCAATGCAGAAACGTCCAAAAAGCACAGTTTGGATCCATGAATGTTTGACAATGGCTTTAATTTAGGTATTCAAAGCGATTGGTCTATTCTATTGTTTTTATTATTCTTTATTTATTTGGGGTCACATTATAATAAAAGTACAGTTTTGCAAATCGAGACCCGAAAAGACAAATTAAATACCGAAGAAAATTTGAAAAAGTACATAGGGGTTGTTATCTACACATGTGATTGGTTTATTCTACACACTATCTGACCCCTGACCTTTGACCTCTGACCTACAGGCGGAGGAGTTCATGGACTGGTGGTGTAAATTCTACGCTTCGACCGGAGAGAAGAACAAGTACGGGACGTACCTGGAGAAAGGCTTCGACACGCTGAAGGTGAGAGAGGAAAACTGAGAGATGGGGAATAAAAACACATGTTCTTCGTCTTAAAAAGAGCTTTCTGCCAAAATGCATATATGTTTGGGGCTTTTCACGCAAGATCATTAAATAGCCAACTTTTCCCTACCAGTATTAAAATCCATGTCTAGGTGTTAACAATACAGAAACGCCAAAAAAAAACACAGTTTGGATTCACGAATGTTTAAGGATGGCCTCAATTTAGATATTCAAAGCGATTGGTTTATTTCACACACTATTTGACCTCTGGTTATGGTGTTTATTCCAATAACATTGATTTGATTAGCGAAACCAGTTTTTGTTCGAAAATAAGTATTTCTGTATTTTTTCTTCGACAAAACATGATGTGATTTAATCAAATTTGAATTACTATATGAATCAGGGGTTAAACAATTGCTCTAAGAGTATAATGGTACGTCTGGATATGTTCTCTTCACTTCTTTGTGTGTGTGTGTGTGTGTGTGTGTGTGTGTGTGTGTGTGTGTGTGTGTGTGTGTGTGTGTGTGTGTGTGTGTGTGTGTGTGTGTGTGTGTGTGTGTGTGTGTGTTTGTGTGTGTGTGTGTGTCCTAGCATTACTATACTTGTTACTAGTGCTGGGGGGAAACGATTATTTTGAAAACGATTAATCGGGCGATTATTTGATCGATTAGTCGACTAATCGAACGATTATTTTTCTGTTGTTCAATTCAAAAAAACGTAATGTAAAAAAAACGTAATGTAAAAAAAATTTTTTTCACGACACTGTGTCTCAGGGGATCTTAATATTTAAGAACCTATTAATGTGTTATACCAGATTAACGGAAATAATCTCAGCTAACTGACGATACAAACCATGTTTACCAAAACAAAACACAAGTCTCATAAGAAGCATCTAAATGACCCCTGAGCGAAAAATGCTAACGGACATTGGCACAGATCTCAAGATAAAAGTACCCTTATTACTTATCGTAGCTGCACATACAAGATATCCGATTAAAGCTGAGACTCCACAGATTATGTAGGTACATAGTATCATCACTGAGTGATCCGGACTCGCGACAGGGGAAGCAAATACAGTCATCACAACACGTACCTTCACAGAGCTTCTAGGGAGATCGTCTCACCACCGTAGCTGTCAATCTGATCAAAAGACGTGTTCAATGGCATTAAAATGAGAAAAAACGCGGCTGAATCGGTTAATCCATAGGTTTTTAACGTCTATGTATAAAAAAACGATTGAATTTATAATCCATAATTCCATTTTAATGTAAAAATCGGAGAGCAAATGCTAGCTGCTAATGGTAGCCACCACAGCTAGCTGCTGCTTCCGGTCAAGCAGCAGTCTCAGTGAGATATAAATATATAAATATCTTTGCGTTTTGGACTAACTTTAAAATATTCCCATGCTTTTGAAGACCTAGGGCGAGATGTTTTCGTTTGGGGGCTTCGTGCGCAATCCTGTGAGGAGGAGGTGGTAGCCGTTTCAGTCTCCACTGTGTTAGAAGTGCGATTGCGAACTGCTTGTTGCTTTGGGTGACCCACGTGTGTGTGGCGACCATATATACAGTCTATGGTGGCGACACGTCGACGCGGAAATATGTCGTCGACGATATTTTGAAGTCGACGCGTCGACGCGTCGCTACAGCACTACTTGTTACTAAATCTGTTTACACAGTCACGTGTGGGGACTCGCCTCCCTTATGGGGCCTAAATGGAGGTCCCCATGAGGGGAATCATTAAACTTGGTTAGGGTAACGGCCCGTCCACACAGCGGCGTGCGTTGTCTCTTGCCGGCGGGCGTGTCTGAAACTCGACCAACAACCAATCACATGAATCTCCCGCCCCTGACACACAAGCAGCGTTTTGATTGGCTAGAGCTTGTACTGGCATATGATTCGATTGGCTGACGCTTCTGCCGAGGCTTCAAAAGTTGAACATTGCTCAACTTTTGCAGCGAGCCACGCCAGCAAAGCTCTGCGTCGCTTCCCACAATGCAGTTCGGCGAAAAGTGACGTAACCCCATTCAAAGTGAATGGTGAAGCTTTCAACACACGCCGCTGTGTGGACGGGCCGTTAGGGTTAGGGTTAGGCATGTGTTGGTTATGGTTAAGGTTAGGATAAGTCTCAAGGAAATGCATGTAAGTCAATGTAATGTCCCCTGAAGTGATGTATACATGGTATGTGTGTGTGTGTTTATAAATGTGTGTGTGTCTGTAGATGCTAATTAATATGTGCATGTGTGTGTTGATGAGAAATTGCCAAACATCGACAGCAGATAAAGACAACATGAAGGGAAATACAGAAGTATGGAGAGCATCAGAGCGAAAACATGAAGAACACGGAGACAGGGCCTCTCTTTGTTCCACTTCCTTTAAATGTCTCTCCCAAAACTTCACCATTTAAATCACATTTTTCCCGAGATGCCAGCCTCCTCCTCCTCTTCCTCCTCTTTTCTCATCCCAACGACGTGACATTCGGTCCGTTTTTCTTTTTCCGAACGTCTCCGATGACTCATCCTTGTTGAATTCTCGTCGGGACGGATTGAAGGGAAAAGGTCGCCCCTCAGATGTTGGCGAGTCCGAAGCAAAAGGCATCACGTCAACGTCTGTCTTTTATTCTCGTTTCTCACATCGCCCCCACGCTCTCTTCAACCTTTATCCCGATTCTCTCGGTCCAAACGCCGACCTTTCCTTCCAGCGGGACTCGGAGCGGACGTCAGTCTGACGCCCAAACTCGTGACTAATGGGGTCAGAATCTGGACTTCTTTTATTGCTTTTAAATGAGACATCTAACCTCTCCTTTGGGACCTTTCACATCAGAGCAGCAGCTTCAATAGAACAACCAGGGATGGGAGGGTTCATTTAAAAATGTATACTCCTCTGATTATTATAATTATTATTACTACTAGTTACCAGTAAATATATTTAAACAGTAGAAACTACGATATTTAGGATCAGAAATGTGTCCTGTTCAACAATATAACGTGAGCAAATACATAGCATAAACCACACAGAACGAATGAACCGAAGAAAGTGAAAAGCAGATTTCGGCAGTAGGCGTATAGATTCAAACTGTAAAGGTGTCCTATCATGCAAAATGCACTTTTGATGTCTTTTCTATATCAATGTGTCCCCGGTGCGTCGGGGAACTCACGCAGCGTCAGAAAATAAAACCTTCTCTCTTCCTCCGTACCCACATCTCTAAAAACGGGGGAACAACGGAGCTGATCCAGATTTGCGTCCGATATGATGTCATATCAGAAATGTGGGCGGGCTTTACACCAACGGGCCTATCAGAAACAATAAGACGTGTTTTGGACGATTACAAATTGTATAATAGGAGACCTTTAAACTATACAAAAACCAGGGATGGGAGGGTTACTTTAAAGATGTATTCTGTTACATTGACTTGTTACCTGTAAACAATGTAATCAGTCATATGATCTAAGTATGAACATATAAAAGTAACCTGATTACTTTCTAGTACTTTTGGATTACCTCAATATCATTGAACGAATCCAAGAGAGTAGGAATATCAATACGATGTTTTCCACTTAAGTGTTTAATGTAAGACAACAAAGCAATGTGACTTTAGAAGATTACAAACCAAGATATTTAGGATCAGAAATGATTTAACTTATAAGAAAAGCTGCCTTTCATGAAGCATATTCAGCCTATACACCAACACTGACACACATGAGCACATAATGCAGTTTTAAGAAAGCAGAAATGAAATCTGAGCTGACAGAAAATGCTTCGTTTTAGTTTAACACACACAGTTAAGCTCACACACACTATTTTATTTCACCTATGAATTAAAGACAGAACAAATGAAGCAAAAAGAAAACCAAAAAGGCCCTGTCACACTGTCCCGAAATTGACACCCGATGGAGACACGATAAAGGAAATGTTCAAATTCGGCTGTGATCGTAGCAACATCGGGCCATTCGTGAGGGCATCTAAGCCATCGTATGACCGCCGGTGGAGTTTCTCAGGCTCCGGCAGCAACTTCGTGAGCGGCAACTTCGTAAGGCACTGGTGAGGGCATCTTGTCAAATCGTGTCATCTTCGTGTTATCATCGGTGCCATCGGGCATTCGCCCTCACTCTGATCGGGGCGAATGCCCGATGGCACCGATGATAACAAGATGCCCTCACGATGGCCTTACGAAGGGAAAAATTGACACACGAATTCAACACGAAAATGAACCTTCGCAAGGTCCTTCCGCAATTTTTTGGCAGGCCAAAGATTTTGCCACCGCTCACGAAGTTGCTGCCGGAGCCTGAGAAACTCCACCGGCGGTCATACGATGGCTTAAGATGCCCTCACGAATGGCCCGATGCTGCTACGATCACAGCCGAATTTGAACATTTCCTTTATCGTGTGTCCATCGGGTTGTTTTATTGCACAACAAAATCATGTAAATATATTATGTAAATAACCCAATTTGTGTTCTGTGAAACTAAAAAGGATATAATATATTATTTTGAAGGACAGTTGACAGGAAGTTGTTGTTGTTATGGAAACAACATTACGGAGAAAATGTAATATTTTCTACATATAACGACGGATAAAGTAAAGAACAAAGTCTGAAGATATCAGTACAGTATCATAGTACTGTAACATAATTGTTTGTGTTACTTTCGTTGCAGAATGTCTTAAATGTAATGTAAATGTTGCCTTCGTGTGTGGTTCGGGGCCATCATCGTGCGAAATTCACAATTCCATATTCGTGTGTCCATCGGGTGTCAATTTCGGGACAGTGTGACAGGGCCTTAAAGCAGATTCAGACAGTATAGATTCACACTTTAAGACGCCTTATTATGGTTTTTGGGGTTATGTTAATATGAATATGTACCTGAAAATGAGCATTAAATGTCCACTTCAAAGTATTAGCCTACAGAACACTATAAGCTATTTTAGATGTTTACTTCAGGGGCGTCAAACTCAAGTCTTCATTTTCTGTGGCCCCGCAAGAGCTTGCAAAAAATATAATACGTT